GCAATCTGGTATGTTGAGTTCTAGCGAGCGCCACTTATCACTTCTCAACCATCAACATCTTCCTATTCCAGATTCGAGAGGAGCAATTCAGCCTTTCGAGTGACCTGCACACTCAGCATTTCAATTGTCTGAATATCCGATTAGATGACAGATGCTATTCTATTTAATTTGGCATAATTGTTTTTTGAACGAATTCACTTGCGTTATCGATAAGCATCAAATATAGATGAACGAACACAGCATACCTCGCGAATTCGCTTTCTTGTGGATCATGCCAGGTAGTGCAGACTCGCAGCATGAGTAGGAATATGCCAAGAATCTCAAGTTGAGATTCTCAACCCGAATTTGTTGCTCGTCGTTGTGTGACTAGGCGTTCCGGGACCTCACGATTTGCCAATTTCTTCGAGCGTGTGTATCTTGCTCCATAGTTGTGCTGATATGGGAACATGTTACGTTAACTGTTGTCAGTTGAGACTGTTGCGGTGTGCAGTCCATCACATCTGTGTCTCCGTTGTCCCATTTGTATCAGCTAATGTATCAGCTAAGCTATACCATCCCATTTGTTACTCATAAGTGTATAATCATGTCTTGGTATACCCAACAGGGCCGTATTGAGTTGCATACATTGGCACAGAGTTCTTGGTTATACACTGCATAGGGCTCGAGCGACGAAAACATCGAGTCGATGTTCTATTGTTCCGCGAAAAAAGCTCGTTTCGGGTGGGCGAGTAAGTGTAATCAAGGATAATCCTTTATCCCAAGTTAAATTCCGGAAACGAGACACACGTCGCTCCGCTGCCAAAAAGGGACAGTCGACACACAGCGCACGCGTGCAAGATTGCACCACGTATGCACGCATTAGGAATAGCTTGCAGATCAGAGTGCCGCGTGAACAGTGTTGTCATTTTGCTCAATGCAGCGGAGGTTTCCTGGCAAAGGCCGTGTAGGCCAGCTAAATCGTGCCATGAGGTTTCTAGCAGTCGTCCGCCCCCTCGAATGAGCCGGGCCCGCCTGTTTGATTCTCACTTGCGGACACGAGTTCGGATCCTCCCTTTCCGCTTGCTCCTTTTTATCACAGTTAGAATCAATGACTAACTTATGCCATTCTAATCCAGTTCATCGCAGTCTCGGGAAGACTGGTGCCGGGAAGCAGACTGCGCAGATCTCGTCTGCGTGCTAGAGTCGTTCCCAAGCCACGCAACGCCTTCCCTCAAGCTAGAAGCCCCCACTTGCCTACAGTCTGCTTAATGCTACGCATCATTGCGGTGGGCGTAACGCCCGGGGCATTTCTCCCCCTCTAAGCTTACGAGGGTGGCTCGACCTGACCCGTTGGTCAGAAGCGCATGGCGCGGTCTGCACAGACCACAGACGCACAGCCGATCGCACGCGGCTTCGGTATGCACAGATGATCCATCTGTCCGCGGCTGGCAACGGCCCATCGGCTCCGGCCTGGCTACAG